TTATCTCAATGGCTTAATGCACTTAACAGGGTAACTTCCCCTCGCCCACAACCCCTTTACTTTGACTTTGACTTTTTTTAACATCCATGTGTATATGTGAGGGTGCACATATACGGACGGGGTCAAGGGTCAGGCAGTTTGTGGGCTCTGGGAATGGGGCTCAGGTTGTGAAGCTTGGTAGTAAGCACCCCACTGGCTGAACCATCTCAACCAGCCTTCTTCCACCTACCTTTCAGAGTGGACTTGAGTGTGAAGAGGAGGTCGTGGGGGGGCGGGGGGGAGCTCCATTTCCAATAAGTGGAATTGCAACCAGGATAAATGACTTGGGCCTATTTTCCTTCCTTGACATTTGCCTCCTAATAATACATGGGCAGAAGTCATCGTCTGGAGGGACTTGGACGTGACATTTGCTGTCACTGTGCATGTTTGCATTGCAGACAAAGCAGCCTTTATGATAAGAGCCTACTTATTGTAGCCCTCGGGCTCCAGTGAGCTGGTTCCCAGGGTGCCGTGTGCTAGGGCCGGCTCTGCTGCTGGCCAGAATGTAGTCAGCCTCATAGGATGACACCTCTCCTTGAGGACTTCGGGTTTTTAGGGTTTAGGTGGAAGAAGGTGGTCTTTCCCTTTGTGTGTAGTCTGCCTGAGGTGCCCAGAAGACCTTTGCCTAGAAACACCATTCGTCCTGTGGTCTGAGACCCCTTTTGGAGGGGGCTGGTTGTGCATGCACGATGGGCCAGAGCTGTTCACAGAGTCACAGGGTCTCGTGGCAGTATTTTTAAATACTAGATTTTATTTCTTTTCCTTTTTGCCTGCTATGCCAGAGATGGAATCCAGGGACTCAGGTGTATAAGGCAAATGTTCTATTGAGCCACTACTCAGTCTTCGGCCTGTCTCCACAGGTCTGGACTAGCGGGAGCCATTTTAGGTTATCTGGGGAGTTGACACCACCTCCATGCTCCAGGTAGATAGGTGGAGCCATCACTTCCTTCTCTTCTTTCCATAAATAAAGAGGCTCCCAGGACCGGCCTCTGTGTGCGGGTCTTTCTTAGTGTTTCCAGAATCCTGTTCCATTCTTAAGCTTGATGAAGAGGTTTTAAGCCAGGAGAGTGACTATGGCAACCCTCTGTGAGTCTTCCTTTCTGCTCCCGGCTGCCTGGCACACCTTCACTAGCGCCCTTTGAGGTAACCCAGAAAGCGCACAGCTCTCTTGGCGTTCTTGAACACCAGTGACTTTCACTGTTCCCGGTTTGTGGTCGTTGCCTCTTCTTGTTTCCTTGGGTAAGTTGAAGTCATCCTCTTTGCCTTGCAGAGGGCTGGCAGGGAACACTCAAGTTGCCTTCTGACATGCGCCATTCTCAGCTGGGATGGGGCCTTAGACCCTCAGGCAGTTGCAAACCAGGGGAGTTCCCTACAGCTACCCCTTCCTTGTATTTGGAGCCCCTTAAAAGACCTCCAAATTGGTCTTTGGCAATTTCTGTTTTTGTCAAGAGCAGGTCAACACATTTTCAGTAGCAGGCGCCCAGGCGGATTCAGCTGTGTCCTTTTTGGAAGAATGTATGGTGGGGACATTTGGAGTCCACATTGTGACAGTTGTCACTGCCTGTGGAAAGATTTTGTCCCAGGCAGCTGCTAGGCCTTTTTGTATTATATTAATAGCAGGGCCGTGGGGCCCACTGGGATTGGAAGCCAAGAAGAAGGGGACAGCTGTGGCGGACATCACACCATGCTCTAGGCATGTGCTCCCATGTCACAGGCACACAGATGTCCCGCACCTTGTCCTGCCGCTCAAAACACCCCCAGTCCTCTGCCTGACTTCTCCTTATAGGGGCAGGAATGGGCTTGTGTAGGCCATCCATGGGATGAAGGAGCCAAATCGAGACAGCCTGACTGGAAGAGGACTGGATGGCCTGAGCTGTAGGTCAGCAAACAAGTGTGCTCGGAGCCAAGTAAGGCAACAGTGTCGAGGGGGAGGCAGGTGGCTTCAGATGTCATAGGCCAAATGGCAGCTCAGTTGGCAGCAGGGTGGAGGGATGGAATTTGGAGGACAGACACTTTTGCTATGTCTAGATATGGTCAGGAGAGCGGGGCAGGGGCAGGAACTGGGCAATGCCCAGCCTGTGAAGAGGGGACGTGTGAACAGCGAAAAAGTCAGAGGTGTTAGGCGCAGGTGAGGAATATTGCAGGCGCTGGAACAGATCAGGCTTGAGTGGAGACGGCGGAGCTCACAGGGTTGGTGTGGGAGAGATGATTGCCAAGCTCAGTGTCTTGCTTTCTCCTAGAACCATAGGCAGGAATCTGAGTGGGTCCCGTGTGAGACAGACCAAGCCCTGGGCCTCACGAAGGCCTGCCAAACAGTAGCGCTGGTGATGAGCAGGGACTGTGAACACCTCCATTGCAAGGCAGTCCTCGTCTCATCCAGTCAGATGGTGTTGTAGAGTTAGAGAGACCGTCTTCTCATCCAGCCCCATGGTATTTTCGCCACCTATTTTCTTCTTTGTCTGAGCGATAACACCTCGTTCACTAGATTTACCAAAACCTTCAGATAATGTCACCTAAGACATAGAGGAACTTCTGCGTCCCCTGGGTCCTCTATCCGCCTGTCACAGATGGCCATGGGCAAAGGCTGACTGCCCCCTGTTGGTCAGCTGAGACGCCTTCTGTCACCCAGCCCTGTCACTCATCTTGAAAGGGGCCCCTTGCCTTCTCTGAAGTGCAGTGAAGCTATTCTTGTCCCTGGAATATTGGTACCCTCTAGCAGCTGACTTGTTGGCTGGGTTCTCCTTGGCTTCACTACGACACTAGTCTAGGAGGCCTAGGCTTGTTGGTTAACACAGGCTGGGTCTGCAGGAGGGAAGGCCAGGGGAATGGAGAGTGAGCCTCCATGGGGGCCTGGGTGGGCTTAATTAAGCCAGCACCAGTGCAGCTGCCCAACTCCATCTTTGTGGCTCCTTAGTAACCTGGCCTACCAGAGTTAGGTAGTTACCATGGCAACGTAACATCTGTGCTATCTGCCCCTAGGCCTCCCTCCACCCCAGCTGGATAGGGCCTGGCCTGGCATAGAAAACACAAAAGTCATCACGGAGGTCCTGGAACCTGGGGCTTGCCTCTCAGCACATAGCAGACAAGGGGGGATTGAGACTGGGGGAGGCGACCCCCCAAGTTCATCTCTGTTCTTAGACCTCCCGGGTTTCCTCCATTTCTGTGGCTGTACAGATTTCTCCCCAGCTCACTCTTGCTTCTTGTAAGAAATGATAGCACGAGGAGGATGAAGCTTGGATGGTCCCTATCTCCTGAAGCCTGCTTACTGCTCCGTCCTTGGTCCTGTTGACTCAGAAACCCTCATTCTTCTTGACCTGTCTATGGTGCAGAGTCCTAGGTCACATGTGACTATATATTCATTTAATTCACTCAATCTTCATGGCAACTTAAAGAGAGCCTAACTACAAGAGAGGTCCTGGCTGCTAACTTAGGAAGTCAGTTGGCTTCCAGAGCCAATTTCCCTAACACTGTCACCCGGTACTCATTGGAAACCGAGGGGCCTTTAAGGAGATTGGACTGGGGTGATATTTAGGTCCTCAGGAGCCTGCCCTGCAGCAGACCTGGTGTTTAGTGAGCTGTGAGGCGAGAGTGAGCTGCGGGGAAGGCCGTAGGCTTAGGAGGAGCTGTCTGGGGCCTATAGGAAGCTCAATGAAGAGGGAGGCAGCTAACTCTCCACTCAGTTGGGTTGGGGGTCTACCCTCAGAAGCACTGAGGGCTACATGTAAGCTATCCACTTGGAGGAGTGGCCTAATTGGCCCTCATGGTAGCCATGATACATGCAGGAGGCTAGTGAGAAGAAGCTTACAGTTGTCTTAGAGCTGATGGGTATCTGAGCTACCATCATAGACCAAGGATTTGGGGGAGTCTTTCTCTAGGGCCTCTCTGGCAGTGTGAAGAAGAGGGACACTCACACTTGTGGAATCTTAGCTCTTTGGAGCTCAGCCTATAGCTAGACCAACTGAACAGAAAAGACCCTAGGATGAGGCAGTCTTGGACAGTCACCCCAAGCGGTAGAAAGATAACGAAATTTCCTCTTCCCAGCAAGCAGCAGCAGCCTGGGCTGGGTGCTACCCAAGCTTCTGAAGGAACAGCTTAGGGTACAGTGGCCTTGAGGATGGCGGAGTGTTCCTTCCGTCCTGATAGCATCCTCTCTGCACCTGTGAGGTCGCCAGCTTTGCTTCCTGGCAGCCTGGAGAGTTGAGTGCACCTTGTAGTGTTTCTGTGTTTTCTGAATAGGTGGGAAGGGAGTTTGTGTGGGCAGCATCCAGAGCCATATCCCCAGGCCATAAGGAAGATGGCAGGCTGCTGGGCATCTCCAAGGCAGATGCACTGGGCAGCTGGTGCCCCTCACCACTAGGATGGTGCACTAAAGCAGCCCTTTTCTGAGAGTCTCTTAGGATAGGGTCCCTGGGGCCCTGCTGTTCTGGGTACCTCTTGGGCCTGGCATCACCCTCTGCTCTTGTCACTTGTGAGCGCTGGCTTTGTGTCCTTAGTGGTGGCTGAGACCAAGGGTGAACCCTGTCGGTTCTTTTCTTTTGTTCTTGCCCTGCTGGGTCAGCTGGGGAACCATGGCCCTGTCCTCTTTCTCTGCTCAAGGGGTTGCAGAAAACGCTTGGTCCTTTATGACTTGAGTTCTTGTCCTCTGCTTGCCTGGGTGAGGGGGTCTGGAGAAGTGGGGTCTGGAAGGACGAATTGCCTAGGGCCATGGGCAGAGACCTTAGGAGATGACTTCCAAGCCCATTTTGTTAATGGCCTTCATTTCCAAACTCGTGGCTCTTGTGTCTCCCATGGTCAGACAGCAGCCCAAAGATTGCCCAGAAATGCATCCTCTGATGGCTGTCTGGCCACTGGGTCAGAGACATCGGGTTGAAGAGCTTCATAGCTATGGCTCTGGAGGTTGGGTGTATCTGTTTTGCTGATGTGGTTAACGCTCCCTACCCCATTTTTCTCTCCATTTCAAGCTTGTAAACACCTTTGGAGCCTCACAACCGCCTTCCTGACTGGCCACCTGCTCTGCTTTAGCCTCTTCTACATGGGGCAGACCCTTCAGTCCTGAAGGGAAGGTTTGCTAAGCAGGAGAGCTCGGGAGAGCGCTGTCTCCTGAGGTAAGAGCTGATTTTCATCTTACACAGACCCAATACCCATGGGGCCTTTTGAGCAGGGAGGTGGGTCTTGCTGGGACAAGGTGGCTCCTTCTTAGAGCTGTAGAATCCACAGGGCCTCTTAGAAATGCTTTGATTAATTCATAATGGCGATGCTACCACCCAAAGCCACCTAGAACAAGATACTTTCCAGACCATGTCCCACTTTGTGCTCCTGCACGTAAGTGAGCCCGTCTGATACAGTGGCCATAGGTTCATGTGGCCACAGGATGAGCAGTCTCTCCAGCCCCTTTCCCAGAGTGGCCCTTGGAGCACTAGCTAGCCCATGCCCAGCTCACTATCTCCTGGTTGCTTCCTGTGCACCACAGCCAGCTGAGGTAGCTGGGACATCCCTGCTATGCTTGAAAGCGATACCAGCAGCACTGGGATGCGGCAGAAGAGGCCCAGGCCTTCGGCAGAGGAGGGCTGTTCTTCCCTTGGGTTTTATGACTGGGAGGAACTAGCCTTCTCTCTGCTTAGGAGTGGGCCAACAGCTTCCTTCGTTCAGAGCCAACGTGGTTTCCGGCAGAGTGTTCCTGGTTGATACACAGAACTCATCCTCAAAGTGGGTCAAGTTGGTTGGTGGAAAAAGTGCCAGAGACAGATCTATCTGGAGGTCAGGGAGAACTGGGAGGGTCTTGTCACAGTGCCTAGAGCCTGCTGCTCAGTCCACCATTCTCCCATGTGAAAGCTGTGGCTCCTGAGTACGGGCAGCTGGGAGGGAGGTGCCTTGGCTAGCTGAGCAGGTCATCCCAAGACTCTGCTATGTTATGGCCAAGGTCCTGGGTTAGTGATCATTTGAAACCTTGACCAAAAAGAGACTCCCTGGGGTCTTGGAGAGACAGGCAGAACTGGGAGGGCCCAAGAGGTGACCACCACCCCTACGCAAATAGAACAGCCTCGTGTGGAAGGAAGATGACAAGAAGGACCTTTCTGGAGGGCCCCCCCTCAATCCTGTTGTGCTCGCTTCAGAGGGTTGGGTGGAGGCTCTCCTGAAGGAGTCTGCAGAGCATCGAACTGTAAGTAGACCTTTGTTTTAGGGGATGGCTGCTGTCCCCTGCCTGGGCCCTCATGGCAGCCTCTGCTAGGCCACTCCTGCCCCAGTTGGCACCCATGCTATGGCTGGGGCCAAGGCACCAGAGACCTGGCCCCACCCTGTCTGTTCTAGGCTGACAGTGGCTTGTTGCCCTAGGCTAGAACCACCTTGTGTGGGGTCATCCTACCCCCCACATCCATTTCATGGAACCCTCCCACCACTCCTCTGCTTCCTAGCACTAGGGTATGGATGGTTTGTTTTTCTTTCATGTCTTCTTTCTTTCTCTTTTCCACAGGACCAGGACTGAGCCCAAGTCCACATGACAGTGTTCTACCACTGGTCTACACTGGCGGCCCTCTTTTAATTTTATTTTGAGACACGATCTCACTGAGTTGCCCATACTAGCCTCAAACTTGGAACCCTCATGCCTTAGACTCCCAAGTAACTAGTATTATAGGCATGAACCACTGTGCCCAGTCTGGAGGGTTTCTTGGTTAACTACCTCTGTAAGAAAGAGCTCTGGGGAGTGGGGGACAAACACCCAGCTTTGTGAGTTGTTAACACCCTGCCTCTCGCATGTATGGCCTAGTATCTGCCTAATAAATTTGTGTAAAAGGATTGATGGATGTCTTTCTCGTCTGTTCTCTGCCTACTGCCCTACTCTGCTTACCGGGCTAAAAAGCAAGTGTGGTTTGCGTCCAGCAGACTTTGCTTGGTTTTACTTCTTAATGGCTGTCCCCATTAATTAGACTAGACTCAGCTACAACAGGACAGGAGCATAATTCCTCTAGAACACTTTAAACCCTGAAGGGAGGGGTGGGTGGATGGATGGGATGGGTGCGTAGCTGACATAATGAATAGATATGTGAATGGATGGATAAGTGAGGACCGGATGGATGGATGGATGGATGGATGGATGGATGGATGGATGGATGGATGGATGGATGGATGAATGGGTGGGTGGGTGGATGGGAGAAATTGAAGATTCAAACACAAACAGGGCAGTTGATTGTTAAAGAACAGAGTGGCTGCGAAGTCCAGCTGGGGGATTACTTGTCAGCTGTTTTGTGGGCAGAAGCCAAAGCAAGACCCCCACACAGCCCTTAGGACACAAGAATTCTGTAGAATCTGGTTCTCTTTCCTTTGGGAAGCCAGCATCCAGGAGAAGGACCCTGACACCCTGCTCACCAACCACAGACCATGTTGTCCTATTTCTGCTTCCCCAACACTCCTGGGCACCTAGCCTCCTCCGTTTCTAATGTTACCTGTCCCTCATCTTCCCACGCCCTCTTCCTTGTCTGTAGCGTTGTCCTCACAAAGAGATTAGGCTCTTCCTGGGTGTGGGGGAGGACAGTTCATCAGGAGAGATGCTCTGGGAGAAAGGAGAACTGGACACGGGCCAGCTGCCCTCTCCCCAAGGACCCTTGGGGGTATTCACCCTGGTCACATGAACTTTAGGCCTTCCCCCCCCCCCCAGCCACCGCCTATATGAGGCTCTGTGGGGATGCTGGGGGCCCTCTCGGATACCATAGGAAATGAAGCCACCTTCTTGGCTTCCATTCACTAGTTATCAGTAGCCACTGCCACAGTCATGGCAGCCGGAAGCTTTCTAGACCTTGTCCCAGAGCTCGTTGGGGACAAAGGACTCCAGAGGGAGAACATGGGATCTATTAGCTGCACTGAGCTTTTTAACTTATTTACAAAGTAATTCAAAGAAAACAAAATACATCAAACATTTGGGCTGTCGCCGCCCTTCAACTCCATCCAGCTGTCCTGCTGTCTGGGACCTAGCAAGGGTCCTGGGGGTTTGAGGACATTTACCTTCATTCAGAGGCATGAGTGGAAAACGCACTGGAAGCAAAAGAAGACCAGCTGACTATTTACCAACTAAAGGAACCAGCATCCCAGTGGAGGAAATGGGTGGTTCTTACTAAGACAGACTAGATGAGCCTTGCATATGTGTGTATGTAGCACTCAATGAGACCTAGGACTGAGTTAGGACTGACCCTAACTGCCTTAGGGTTTCTATTGCTGTGAAGAGATGTCATGACCATGGCAACTCTTATAAAGGAAAACATTTAATTGGGGGTTTAAAGTTCAGAGGTTTAGCCCATTATCAGCATGGTGCTGGAGAAGGAGCTATAGCTTAATCCTGCAGGCAACAGGAAGTGAACTGATACTGGGCGTGGCTTGAGCATAAATGACAGTTCAAAACCCGCCCCCACAGTGGTACACTTCATCCAAATAAATACTGGTTGCAACAAGGCTATACCTGCTAATCGTACCACTCCCTATGTTTTTATGGAGGCCAATTACATTCAAACAACCACATAACCCTACATTGAAATATCTGAAAGCTGCTGAGATGATTCCACCGGTAAACATGACTTGTGCAAGCCTGACTCTGGAGCTTCCACCCCTAGAACCTGTGTAGAAAGAGGACACCACAGAGCTGTGCTTTGATCCTCCACATACATGCAATAAGAACGTTTTTTTCTAAAAACTAATCTTAAACTGTCCATTCACCCTTAAGGGACACAAATCATTGAATAGGTAAATGAAACAGGTAACTCGAGGTAATTCATGTTGGTGCCATTCACTCCAGACAACAGCCAAATATGAGTGATGACAGCTGGTGACTTGAGTTTCTGATGAAAGACTAAAGGGCAATGAGCCTTGTGGAGGAGGGCCAGGGAGAATGCACCTCGGTGTGCACACTGGCATCCCTGAGGGTCCCTTGTGTACAGCATGTTCCCTGGGTTGACTCAACGTGAAAGATACTGCATCACCCCAAGATGACCAAACATCAGACACCAAAATTGGAGAGCAGGGACTCAACCCAGTCAGCCCAAATTGAGGGGCATCCCACAAAAGACTCAAACAGTCAGGCCAAGGAAAGCAAGAAGTCTGGAGAGAAGCGAGTGTCCTTTGGGGTGTGGACCAACGGCACAGGGGAGGGTGTTAAGGGAGGTTAGCTGATGGTGCACTGAGGCCAGTCCTCCCTCTGAGCACCTAGCAAAACAAGGGGCGAGGGCTGGAGAGATGGACCAGCGGTTAAGAGCACTGGCTACTCCTCCAAGGGACCCAGGTTCGATTCCCAGCACCCACATTGCAGCTCACAACTGCCTGTAACTCCCGTTCCAGGGGTCTGACAATCTCACAGACATACCCACAGGCAAAAAAACAAAAACAAAAACAAGGGATAAAACTGCAAGGCCATGGGAATCTGAGCCTTCTTTCCAATGTATCCTTAAATCTATAAGTTTTAAATCAGAATCATTTACACTGTATGTCTCCACAAATGCAAAGTTACAGCCCAGCAGCCCTCTAGAGCTAGGTAGAAAGGCCAGTCAAGTGAGTATCACTCCTAACAAATGAGATGGGCACCATAGAGAATAATAAATTGGGCCCCATGAGACCTGTTGTCTGGTCCCCCAGGAGTGAGAACCTCCATGGGCCACAGTAAGAGATGCAGAGATGAAAACTCCACTGAGCCTAGGAACATTCCGGGTGAAGCAAGGTGAGCAGTCGCGCTACGGCTTGTGCATACATTATGTGTGTGGTGTCTGTCTACACACACCTACGATGGAATGCCAGACGGTCCCTTTAGGCAATTGTAGTTCACGTAAGAAGGGAGAGTCCAATGCCTGGGTGTGGTGCCATGGAGAAGGAGGCAGTATGGCTGCCCTGATGGGCAGGAAGGGAGAAGCGTCCGAGTCCATGATGTACAGTGGGCAAGTCAGAAGGCTGTGTGCTGCATCTGGGCTCTGGGCTGGGCGTGGCTAGTAGACTGGGACCAGGAGGCTTCACGCTTACCTACGGGATGTTTTAGGAAAACGCTTTAGTTGCTTCTAATAGGAGAACCTGTAAGTCCGGAAGCCTCCTGGTCATCTGGGCCCACCCAGTAGAGCCTGTCCCATCCGAGGGCAGCATTTTCCACGAGTTGAGGAAAACCTAGAGTGCTTGGCAGAAGGAACTCAGAGGAGGACCCTGTTTGCCCAAAATACCTCCCTACATTCCCCTGAAATTCTTCACTCTCTTGAAAGGCAGGATATTCTTGTAATTTGAGGTGATTCTGGGCAATGCCGCCCTCGGAAAGAGCAAATGCACCTGAGTACCAGGCATTGTCACCTAGAGTACATCTGTGCTCACAGGACAGCCAAAGGGGACGAGGCCTCAGCCTGGCACCTAGGCCCAAAGGGTTCAAGGAGGGGAGAGGATAGGAGGTAACGTCTACCTCCTCAGCTTTGCTAGAGCAAGCTCCTTCAGGACAGAGTCCTAGGAAGGCTGGGGGAGAAAGAGAGAAGCCCGGGCCACAGTTTCCATGTGATGAGTCACTGTCTACTCTCTACTCCCCAAACAACCCATAGGACACATGTCAGCCACTGCTGGTCCTGTTCTGGGTACCCAAAGATACAATAAGGACAGGTGGACGTGGCCTGTCGTTAGTGGCCTGTTGTTAATGTCCTGTTGTTTGTAGCCTGCTGTTAGTGTCCTGCTGTTAGTGTCCTGTCATTAGTGTCCTGTTGTTAGTGTCCTGTCGTTAGTGTCCTGTCGTTAGTGTCCTGTTGTTAGTGTCCTGCTGTTAGTGTCCTGCTGTTAGTGTCCTGCTGTTAGTGTCCTGCTGTTTGTGGCCTGCTGTTTGTGGCCTGCTGTTAGTGTCCTGTTGTTCGTGGCCTGTTGTTATGGAGTTTGTGTCCTGATAGTCCCAGCAGAGTGAGTAGAAAGAGCTTCCACAGGAAGTGCCACAGGTGTGAGAAGTACACCATGAAAGAAGGAAGGAAAGCCTTGACCTCCTCACAGAGCTGCCTTTGCCCTGAGCTTGGATTTTTACCAGGGATGGGACTGAGACCATGGCATCTTTCTCAAGTGTCAAGGGACACGACTAAGTCTTCAATCTGGAAAATTCTTGGTAGACTGCTAATCGAAGCCAAACTAGAAGCCAGGAGACTCAGCAGTGGAATTGCCCTGGAGAGGTGGAGGAGGCGACAGAGAGAGAGAGTGGAATGAGTCCCCGACTTTGGTGGCTGAGCCCCTGTGGCTGAGGGCTGTGAGAGGCGGGGGGGAGAGCGGGCGCTGTGTTCTAGGTGTGATGTCCAGTTGGCTTGCTATGTAGTCTCCCAGAAGGAGACCCCCTCCAGGGTACCATGGGCGAATAGTGTCCTATGACCACCAAGGAGAGGCCAGGCCCCGCACTCTCCCTGATGCTGGGATTCTGCCATCGTCAGCTGCAGCCCCCGCACACAGCAGCCTGGTGCCCCCTTCTGCATGTGTAGCTCACGAGAGCAGATGCCCTTTTGATTTTTACTACAAATTACACCTCAGATAATGTCTCCATTATGGCGAGGACATTCCCTGAGAAAGGCTGGAGCGGCCACCGTGGTCACCAGAGTGGCGTGTGTTCATTCACGGCTTTTCTCCCACACTGGCTGGTTGGCAGCAAAGGAGCCACTGGGCCATCGGGCGGGTGGTTTAATGGATGAGTCTCCCAAATCCACCAATGAAGATGTTCCTCTCAGTCCCTAAAGGAGGGAGGAGGTGAGTGTGCTCCAGGTGAGAGTGCTCCAGGTGAGAGTGCTCCAGGTGAGAGTGCTCCAGGTGAGAGTGCTCCAGGTGAGAGTGCTCCAGGTGAGTGTGCTCCAGGTGAGTGTGGAGGTGAGAGTGCTCCAGGTGAGAGTGCTCCAGGTGAGAGTGCTCCAGGTGAGTGTGGAGGTGAGAGTGCTCCAGGTGAGTGTGCTCCAGGTGAGTGTGGAGGTGAGAGTGCTCCAGGTGAGAGTGCTCCAGGTGAGAGTGCTCCAGGTGAGAGTGCTCCAGGTGAGAGTGCTCCAGGTGAGAGTGCTCCAGGTGAGAGTGCTCCAGGTGAGTGTGCTCCAGGTGAGAGTGCTCCAGGTGAGAGTGCTCCAGGTGAGTGTGGAGGTGAGAGTGCTCCAGGTGAGAGTGCTCCAGGTGAGAGTGCTCCAGGTGAGAGTGCTCCAGGTGAGTGTGCTCCAGGTGAGAGTGCTCCAGGTGAGTGTGCTCCAGGTGAGTGTGGAGGTGAGAGTGCTCCAGGTGAGAGTGCTCCAGGTGAGAATGCTCCAGGTGAGAGTGCTCCAGGTGAGTGTGCTCCAGGTGAGAGTGCTCCAGGTGAGTGTGGAGGTGAGAGTGCTCCAGGTGAGAGTGCTCCAGGTGAGTGTGCTCCAGGTGAGTGTGGAGGTGAGAGTGCTCCAGGTGAGAGTGCTCCAGGTGAGAGTACTCCAGGTGAGAGTGCTCCAGGTGAGTGTGCTCCAGGTGAGTGTGGAGGTAAGAGTGCTCCAGGTGAGTGTGCTCCAGGTGAGAATGCTCCAGGTGAGAGTGCTCCAGGTGAGTGTGGAAGTGAGAGTGCTCCAGGTGAGTGTGGAAGTGAGAGTGCTCCAGGTGAGAGTGCTCCAGGTGAGAGTGCTCCAGGTGAGAGTGCTCCAGGTGAGTGTGGAGGTGAGAGTGCTCCAGGTGAGTGTGGAGGTGAGAGTGCTCCAGGTGAGTGTGGAGGTGAGAGTGCTCCAGGTGAGTGTGGAGGTGAGAGTGCTCCAGGTGAGTGTGAAAGATTGTGATCCTGAAATTTTAAAAAATAAATCACATTTTTCAGATTGAAAACAAGTCCGGCCCCTCAAAAAAAAATCTACGGGGAGATGGTCTCCATACAACCGCGAGCAAATTTAGGGACCCAGTCCTCGGGATGCTGCCAGTCTAGTGGAGAGATCAAGGTTGGCCAGAGAAACCCGGAAGTCTAGAGTCAACCAAGGAGGCGGAGGGAATAGGGGGGCAGGAAAGCCTGTCAGGCTTGCTGGCCAGGGAGAGCATGGAGGGGGCGCTGACGTGAGGGCTCACTAGGCTGTGGACGAGGAGACAAAGGTCAGTGAGAGCGGCCTGCTGAGGTCATTCTCCAGGTTTGCCCTCAGGGACGGGGAAGGAAAGGTTTCTTTCCATGGTGACCTGAGGTCAGAAGGCCTCCCGGAGCCACCCAAGGGTGCAATGCAGTGTGTGGGGACAGAGGCAGCTGGGAAAGGGGCCAGGAAGACAGGTTTGCACCCCCCGCCCCCTTTCCCAGCCCCGCCCCCTTTCCCAGCCCCCGCCCCTTTTCCAGCCCCGCTCCCTTTTCCAGCCCCCGCCCCCTTTCCCAGCCCCCGCCCCCTTTTCCAGAAGTGGCTGAAACCACCGGCTGCTCTGTGAAAAGCGACAACATCAGGGCTATGACTCACTCTCCTCCCCCATCCCCCAGCTCGCTCAGATCTCCAACAGGTCCCGAAAAATCTGTCTTTTTTTTTTTCATCTTCTTCTTCCTGTTTCAAAATACCTGAAGCTCAAAAGGCAACAGAAAGACAAGGCAAAAAGAAAAAAGAAAGCTCAGCCCTCCCCCACCGCTCTACTCCCTCCCCGCCCCCTTCCCCCCCAACCTTAGCTGACTGGATTGAGGCAGACTCTCTTCTGTTTTCCAAAAGAATTCAGTTAAAACCAAACCCCAAACAACCTCAAGACCCCTCACCCACTTGCCTGAAATGAGGGGCTACAACACACCCCTGAGGCTTCTGCTCCCTCCCCAGCCCCGCTGCTGCTTCCTCCCACTACCCCCTCCACAGGAAGCACGAAGCCAGGCACCCCAGGGATCCACCTGATGCAAAATTTTCTTAGACCCAAAGGACCCCCACCGCACCCCCGTCGCATCCCCCAGCGTCAGGGACAGGCGTCGGATTGGTCTCCCACCTTATCACCTCTCGTTTCTATAGGGCTGGAAATTGAGGCTTAGGGAAGACAATTTAGTAAAGCTTTTGGCCTCCTAATCTCCCATATTGAAACCCGAAGGTAGCTGGGGTGTGGCGACACACACACACACACACACACACACACACACACACACACACACACACCCTTAAACCCAGCACTTGGGAGACCAAGGCAGGCGGCATACTATTGCTTTCCAGGCCAGCTTGGTCTACATAATGAGATCTGTCTAAAAGAATTTAAAAGCAAAAATCGAAAAACTCAAAAGCTTGGAATTTAGACTCTTCTGACTCTGGGGTAATTTTGCTCCCACCCCCCCCAGCAGATGTGCCAATATCTAGAGATCTAGAGACAGTTTTTAGTTGCCACCGTTGGGCTGGGTATGTTTCTGGTTCCCTGGGGCAGAGGGTATGGGGACTCTTCAGTATCTTACAACAGATGGACAGACAGCCCAAAGAACCAACCAGCGGGGGGAATATACAGGCCTACACCCCAGAAGACCTAGAGAGACTAGAGAGATAAGCATCAAGATGTCTACATCTGTTTATCTCCTGCTGTAAGGACTGGGGTGATTCTTTTTTTTTTTTTTATGTCTCTTTCTCTTGTTTTTCTGTACAGTTTGAATTTTTAAAGAGAGAGTGGGCATGTATCATTTTTATAATCAGAAAAAAAAGAGCTGTTTTCATTTTGTAAAAATAAAAAAGGGAGTCAGGACTTATTGATTCTGACCCAGCCCCCTCACTAACTAGCTGTCGGGAACAGCTGTCTGGAAAATATGTGCATCTGGAAAGCAAGGCGGGCAGTCCTTCTCGGATTATATTATAGGAATATAAAGTAACATTGTCCTGGGGAAGCTCTCTGAGCTCAGAGAGGAAAAATTGTTAAGAATCCTGAGATGATACCTCTCTCTCTCTCTCTCTCTCTCTCTCTCTCTCTCTCTCTCTCTCTCTCTCTCTCTCTCTCTCTCTCTCTCTCTCACTCTCTCACTCTTTCATTTTCCCTCCGAGTTTGTGTGTATGTTTTTGTAGCATAGAAATCAGGGAGACTCAGGAAGGGCCCATCTGTATCAGATACCTGGCCAGCAACAGACCCAGGACAGACCTAGCACCCTCCTGCCCTCCGGGATGTGTGGAGCAGATATTGCTACACAGAGCCGAGGCAGATATCAGTTCCTGCGTAATCTTGATTTTTATCTCAAAGCTGGGCTAGCGCTGGATTTCTCTACCAGAGGGCCCTTGAGCATTTGGGTGAGATCATACTTAACTGTAGAGACCATCCCTAACCCTGTAAAGGCTGACCGGAGTCTGCGGCCTCTTCCCATTAGATGATAATAGCACCCTTCAACCCCCACCTCAGCAAGTCGTGACAAAACTAAAATGTCTCCAGAAAAGGGCAAATGTCCTGTGGGGGCGCCCAAGGTCACAGCTGGTACAGACCCCTCGGCTCCAGCCTGCCTGGTGTTTTAGAGAAAAAAGACTTCAAAACGCTGACAATCCCCCCCCACCTCGGGGTCCTGCTTAATTGTGTTGCTTACTGATTTCTGAGTCACCGCCCGTGTTTTTTCTGTCTTTAAACGTCTTTTGTTTGTGTCTGCCCCCCCCAAACAGCCCTGAACCTAAATGGGAACCCCTTGGTGGTCCTAGAGTTTCCCTGGAAAGCCCCTTCGCAACCTGAGTCTGGGGCTCTGTTTTTTTTTTTTTTTTTTTTAATTAAAAACAATGCCAGGGCCAACAGGAAGCACAGAAAGGAGCCCTTGAACACAGAAAAATAAATAAATAAATCCCTTGCTTCCTGGGATTGCATACACTGAGAGAAGACCGGGAGAGATACTGTTCGGCCACTTTTCACACTAAAGCCTAAATCAGAACAAGAAGATGAACTTTAAATTGAGTAAGATAAAACCAGTTTGGGAAATTCAATATCTCACCTCCCTTCCTGTCTTTTTAAAAATCCATAATTCATACAGAACCCAGTCAGGGGGTATACAGCTCAAATTGAATTATCCTTTCCCCTGCTTCTACAGACTGAGGCCGGCAGAAGCATTTTCTTGACATGGAGAAAATGAAAAGCAATTTTTTTCTGAGCCTATATTTCCCTGTCTCAACTTCCTTGCCACAGCCTCTCCAGCCCGTAGGGATGGGAGCATTATAAACAGGCACTAACCGACCTTCTAAAGCATATGCTAATTACAGCGCTAGGGATTCACCCTGCTGCTGCCCATACAAACTCAGGTGATGAATACCCAGGGTTATTCATCACAGAGCTGCTGGTTGGAGCTGCAGCCTTGAAACAGCAAGTGTGCCCATCACCAAGTGCTCCTTCAATAACCCTACTCCCCCATCCCCCATGCAATGGAGTCACGACACAGGCCTGGAGAGAAAAAAAAATAAAATAAATAAATATAAATGAACCCAGAAAGTCATCCGGTAATGACAGCAACCCTGTTATTGCATTGTCGAAGCCAGGAACAAAGCAGTGTTCATAGTTCCTGACGTGTGACAAGAAAGGAAGAAATTGCACCGTGCAGCGGCTGCTTATGCTGTGTGTGTGAGTGTGTGTGTGTGTGTGTGTGTGTGTGTCCAAGCAGAGGGCACTGGAAGAGGCTGTGAGCACACCTCCGTATCTACCCTTTGTGTGTGTTGATTTGGGTGTACACGCGTGTCGGGGTGTGGTGTACTTGTCCATGCAGGTAGAGGCTACGGGTCAATATCCGTACCCCCTCCATTGCTCTCCACCTTAGCTGTTGAGAAAGGGTCTCTCGTTTGCCCTCCAGCTCACTGATTCCTTCAGACTGGCTGGCCCGCACACTTCAGAGATCCACCTGTTCCCCTCCTCCAAGGTGCAGGCTTTACAGAGCGCATCCCTGTACCTAGATTGGGTTTTTTTCCCCCCTAATGTAGATGCTGGGTGGTGATGGCCATGAAGTCAGGTCCTAATACATGGTAAACACTGAAATGACCGACCCCTCTCCTCTGTCCCTTCATGTGTTGATTTTTGAACCAGAAATAAAATCCTCAAAAAAAAAAATCAAAGTATAAAATTTAATTTCTTAAAAAAAAAAACGAAAAAAACAGAACAAGAGAGCCGAGACCACCCAGTGCTAATATGTTATGAAAACTACACAGCAGAGGTGTGATAGATTCCTGAGACACAAACCCAAGCGTCCTTGTCTCCTGGGAAACCCGGGCCTGTTTGTTTTGCTTTGCTAATGCTTTTCGATGCCTTGTGGGGGTCTTCCAAAGACTGGCGTGTCAATACCCTCCAGATATGGACCAAAACTTATCCCAAAGCTCCTCTTCCCTGAACCCCCTGCTTCCTAACTGAGAGGTTTGGGTGGCTGGAGGGTTGTTAAGCTGATCAGCATATTATGTGGAGAATTCCCTATTTGCGGCAAGTGACTCAGATTTTTCCATCCACAGTGGTAGTGTCAGATTTCCTTTTCAAATCCCATGATTAAATAAAGGGAGAACAAAAGGAGATGAAGGAAATATTAACTAGGTCTGCCAAGGCTGAAACTCAAGGTGCACAGTTCTGCACGCTCGCCTCCCCATTTCCCTGGGAAATGGACATTGCTTTCAATGTCTCATCCTTTCGGACTCTCCGAATCAACTGATCAACAGAAGAGAGAGAAGTAATGTGCATTTTCCGTAAGCAACAAATCAGATGTGGGGAAACAGCCTCCCCAAAGTACGGGCTGT